TGTGTACGGTAAACAAGGTGTTTACGGTAAACAAGGTGTTTACGGTAAACAAGGTGTTTATGGTAAACAAGGTGTTTATGGTAAACAAGGTGTTTATGGTAACTAAGGTGTTTACGGTAAACAAGGTGTTTACGGTAAACAAGGTGTGTACGGTAAACAAGGTGTTCACGGTAAACAAGGTGTGTACGGTAAACAACGTGTGTACGGTAAACAAGGTGTGTACGCTAAACAAGGTGTTTACGGTAAACAAGGTGTTTACGGTAAACAAGGTGTGTATGATAAACAAGGTGTTTATGGTAAACAAGGTGTGTACGGTAAACAAGGTGTGTACGGTAAACAAGGTGTGTACGGTAAACAAGGTGTTTACGGTAAAGAAGGTGTGTACGGTAAACAAGGTGTTTACGGTAAACCAGGTGTTTACTTTCGGTAGAGGAAGCTCTCTTTCATGAAGATTCAGTCGCATGTTTAGGTTGTTACTGAGGGGGAATACGCTGTGCATTGTATGCGTAATGGGCGAATGTTGCTCCAGAGGATGTCTCCAGGACAGCAGAGATGTCACTTCGCCATACACTTACTTTTGCGAGTGACGTTTGTAATATCATGGAGTTGTGTATTTTTGTGAGCTGTATGTTCAAGGTTCTATTCATAGTTGCGTTTCAGAGTTCATTGCCTTTGCTTGCAATGTGTTAGATGTCAGTTTAGTACGATAATTAACTTGTTAATTGAACAACTTAGGTCTAAATTTTGATTTAAAGCTTTCGTGACTGCAGTAATTCATATTCTTAGTTCTTTCGGTAAAGTCACGTTGAAGGGAAACAACAAAATAATAAAATATATAAAACAATAAAAATTCTCACGACGTTTCGACCATAACACAAACGGTCGTCTTCAGGTGTGTTGGTTTGCATAAATTTATTTGTAAACGGTGCATTTATTTATTTATAAAAAAACGTTAGCGCCACGCGCAGCGATTTGGCAGTTTATTTAGGACTAGTCCATCTATATTCTGAAAAGAGGAGGGGGGAGACGAATTTTTTTTTTATGCTGTCTGAAAGCCACTGTAAGCGTGAACAATCAATTAAGACCTGAAATGGTTTATCAAATCTTTGCAATGATTGCTAAGATAGAATCCATCTTATTCATATTCTTAGTTTTTTCGGTAAAGTCACGTTGAAGAGAAACAACAAAATAATAAAATATATATAAAACAATAAAAAATTCTCACGACGTTTCGACCATAACTCAAACGGTCGTCTTCAGGTGTGTTGGTTCGCATAAATGTATTTTTAAACGGCGCATTTATTTATTTATAAAAAAACGTTAGCGCCACGCGCAACGATTTGGCAGTTTATTTAGGACTAGTCCATCTATATTCTGAAAAGAGGAGGGGGGAGACGAAATTTTTTATAATGTATGCTGTCTGAAAGTCACTGTAAGCGTGAACAATCAATTAAGACCTGAAATGGTTTATCAAATCTTTCCAATGATTGCTAAGATAGAATCCATCTTCTCGGTTGAAATTGTCTCTGTGCTTGTATATGTGGATAGCCTCATGAACGAATCTCTCATGGAAGCCAGATGGCTTACAAATAACCTCTGTCTTGGAAAAGTCAATGGCATGTGAGCCTACTGAATTAGAACAATGATCTGCCACGGCCGAGGTGTTGGTCCTACCGTGTTTAAGGTCTGCTTTGTGTTCACGAATGCGGTCCGAGACATGGCGTTTGGTTTCTCCAATGTAACTACTACCACAGAGGCAACTTAGTTTGTAGACACCAGGGTATTGTATGTCCGGAATCACATCTTTTACAGACGGAACCAGATCACGGATTTTATGTAATGTGTTGAAACGGACCTGGATCTTGTGTCTATTCAAGATTTTGGAGATCTTTTTTGTGATCCCAGCAATGTAGGGTAAAGTGATGGTTTTGAAAGGCTCCTCAAGAGGGTTCTTCTTCATGGTTTGAGTGATAGCTTTGCGGATTGTATAGTCGGAGTAACCATTAGCCCTAAGAGCTTGGTGTACGTGCTTGAGTTCACTGCTTATGTGTTCCTGGTCGGATATGCATTGAGCTCTATGATACAGAGTCTTGATGAGAGAATTCTTCTGTGATGGATGGTGGTGGGAATCCGGTTTCAGATAAGCATCTGTATGGGTAGCTTTCCTGTAGACAGAGTGGCTCATTGAACCATCAGGTCTCTTTTTAATTAGGACATCCAAAAAAGGTATCTTGCCATCTATTTCGACTTCCATGGTAAATCTGATGGCTGGGTGTATGGAATTGATGTGGTCGAAGAATTGGTCTAGAGCAGGCCGGCCATGTGGCCAGATGACAAAAGTGTCATCCACGTACCTCTTCCATAAGGTTGGGCGCAGAGTGGCAGTCTGGATGGCGTCAGTCTCAAATTTCTCCATGAAAATGTTAGCTATAACTGGAGAAAGGGGGGAGCCCATTGGGGTGCCCTCAGTTTGTTTGTAGAAAGTTCCATTCCAAGTGAAGTATGTATTGGTTAAACAGTGTCTCACCAGGGGGGGTACCTCAGTGTTTAGTCCTTGATGAACCAAGTCTTCAATGATTGCAATGGTGTCAGGTACAGGAACCTTGGTGAATAAGGAAACTACATCAAAACTGACAAGCAGGTCGTCTGGGGACAGGGAAATACCCTTGATTGTCGATACCAGGTGAGTAGAATTTTGTACCGCAGAGGTGGTCTTTCCAGTGAAAGGACGCAGGATTTCAGACAAAAAACGAGCTAGTTTGTAGGTGGGGGAGCCGATAGTAGAGACTATGGGACGAAGGGGTGTATCTACTTTATGTATTTTTGGTAAGCCGTATAATCTTGGTGGCCTGGCAGCAGAAGGTTTCAACGAAAACTGTTTAGATTGATCAATTAATGCGGTTGAATCAGAAATTATTTTGTTGGTTTGTGTGACGAGGCTGTTGGTGGGATCTCTTTTTATTTTTGTATAACTACCAACACCTGAAGACGACCGTTTGAGTTATGGTCGAAACGTCGTGAGAATTTTTTATTGTTTTATATATATTTTATTATTTTGTTGTTTCTCTTCAACGTGACTTTACCGAAAAAACTAAGAATATGAATTACTGCAGTCACGAAAGCTTTAAATCAGAATCCATCTTCTCGGTTGAAATTGTCTCTGTGCTTGTATATGTGGATAGCCTCATGAACGAATCTCTCATGGTAGCCAGATGGCTTACAAAGAACCTCTGTCTTGGAAAAGTCAATGGCATGTGAGCCTACTGAATGGTTACTCCGACTATACAATCCGCAAAGCTATCACTCAAACCATGAAGAAGGACCCTCTTGAGGAGCCATTCAAAACCATCACTTTACCCTACATTGCGGGGATCACAAAAAAGATCTCCAAAATCTTGAATAAACACAAGATCCAGGTCCGTTTAAACACATTACATAAAATCCGTGATCTGGTTCCGTCTTTAAAAGATGTGATTCCGGACATACAATACCCTGGTGTCTACAAACTAAGTTGCCTCTGTGGTAGTAGTTACATTGGAGAAACCAAACGACATGTCTCGGACCACATCCGTGAACACAAAGCAGACCTTAAACACGGTAGGACCAACACCTCGGCCGTGGCAGATCACTGTTATAATTCAGTAGGCTCACATGACATTGACTCCTCCAAGACAGAGGTTCTTTGTAAGCCATCTGGCTACCATGAGAGATTCGTTCATGAGGCTATCCACATATACAAACACAGAGACAATTTCAACCGAGAAGATGGATTCTGGCTTAGCAATCATTGGAAGGATTTGATAAACCATTTCGGGTCTCAATTGATTGTTCACGCTTATGGTGGCTTTCAGACAGCATACATTAATTTTTCGTCTCCCCCCTCCTCTTTTCCGAACATAGATGGACTTGTCCATCTAAACAAACTGTCAAATCGCTATCCGTGGTGCTATCGTTTAAAAAATAAATAAATACAAACCGCCACTTCTTTCAAATGTTCTTGCCGTTGGTTTTCACACCTGATGATGACTGCTTGTGTTGCAGTCGAAACGTCGTGAGAATTTTATTGTTCTATATATTTTATTATTTTATTGTTTCCCTTCTACGTGACTTTACCGAAAGAACCAAGAATAAGATTGCCTGCAGTCACGAAAGCTTTAAATCAGTAAACCCTTGTTAATTCAAAACATATGGGGCTCTGACCTTGCCGAATTATCTAATATTCCGAATTATGTACAATGGTACTCCCCAGTACCTCCTGCCGAAATAGAAACAAATAAATAAATCCAAATTTGTTTTCCAAACTCTTCACACACCGTACGCATTGACACGCACCCTGCATTATTTCTATCCAAAACGTTGGATTTGCCTCGCAGACTATGGGATTTGTACATCAGTCCCTTTCTATTGACTCTTCACGTAGGTGTGCACGACGTTTCTGAGAGGGTTGGCTTGAACAGGGTGCACAAACAAGGTAAGGTCAAAAGCGGCGGGTCTCCACTGACGCTCGCCACGCACGCCGCTACCGGACTGGGTTTTGGTTTCGGTCCGGTGGCACGCGGTTTTGCGCCACGCGCGGTGTCGCGCCACACACGCGGCGACATTGGACCGTTGGGTACGGCAATTTGGCTCGTGGCGAATTACTAATACTGAATGTCTGCTGAAAGCGTGGCCGTGTCGCCGCCGCCGCCGCCGTATCCCCAATTACGAATGATTAAATACCGAGGTTTTAATCATGAATGATTACACACGCATGTAAAGTGTCTGAAGTGTACATCTATGGGACCCTTTTTTGCGTGTATCAAGATGATGAAATCGTTAAAAGGCTTTACCCTTCCTGGCAAGAGTTGTTAAGATGTTCAAACACCAAATAGAGCACCTATTAACAAGGTATCAATTCTGCATTCATTTCATTCACGCAATAATGGCAAAGCGTACATTTTCCGAGAATCCGGGCGACTGCCCTTGAACCCAGGGGGACGGACCGGGCTCAGCAGTCGTACCTGGGGGTAAAGGTCGCCATTGCCCGGCCACTCGAGCCCATGTAGCAGAACATGGGCACCCGCAGCCGCTTGGCGCCGTTTGGAGACACGTAGCCGTACGCCGTGTTCATGTATATGATGGTGTCGCCGCTCGTCTGCGGCGCAAGTCAAAAGGGACACATCTAAATTATACACAGAAGGTAAAAGGTAAGGGTGCAGCCCTGCAATTTCATGCTCACGCTCCTGCTGGCGGAACAGCCTCTTTCAGAGGGAGCTCTAGACAGCGCTCGTAGAGGGCAGCTTAGCCGTAGAGGGCATCTTAGCCATAGAGGGCATCTTAGCCGTAGAGGACATCTTAGCCGTAGAGGGCATATTAGCCGTAGAGGGCATCTTGGCCGTAGAGGGCATCTTAGCCGTAGAGGGCATCTTGGCCGTAGAGGGCAACTTAGCCGTAGAGGGTATCTTAGCCGTAGAGGGTATCTTGGCCGTAGAGGGCATCTTGGCCGTAGAGGGTATCTTAGCCGTAGAGGGCATCTTAGCCGTAGAGGGCATCTTAGCCGTAGAGGGCATCTTGGCCGTAGAGGGTATCTTAGCCGTAGAGGGTATCTTAGCCGTAGAGGGCATCTTGGCCGTAGAGGGTATCTTAGCCGTAGAGGGCATCTTAGCCGTAGAGGGCATCTTAGCCGTAGAGGGTATCTTGGCCGTAGAGGGTATCTTAGCCGTAGAGGGCAGCTTGGCCGTAGAGGGCATCTTAGCCGTAGAGGGTATCTTAGCCGTAGAGGGTACCTTGGCCGTAGAGGGTATCTTGGCCGTAGAGGGCATCTTAGCCGTAGAGGGCATCTTCCACGCTGGCCAGACCGTCTTGAACGAGGGGGCAGTACCTCCTGACATGTTACCCCACCACAGGCGACCCTAACTATGGTGATTCCATTGAACTGCTAGGTGGACAGAGGCGGGTGGGGGTTTAAGGAACTTGCACCGTTGTACTAACTGCCACACTGGGAGATGGAATCAAGCGAGCGACCCCTGGATTGCAAGTCCAGTGTGCTGCTAACCATTATACGACGGCAGCATCCACTTTGTGGACGCAGGTAGCAAAGTCCTTCAAGTAGTGTGAGAGGGAGGTCAAGAGGGTTATTGCTCCCTCAGGGCGGTCATTTTATGGGCTGTGAAGACCACTTTGGATAAGTTGAGAGTTAAGTCTTGTGTAAGAACAATGTTCGTTTGAGGCAGGAATTGCTAAGTATTACCGTGTGGATTGGATAGCTGGATGCCCGAAAGGAAGTTGCTGGCATTTTAACAGAGGTGTCTGAGACGGCTGCTGGGAATTTTGTCACATTGCTGAAGTTCTGAAGAGACCATGGCAGGCAAGTGTTGTAAATATGATTGGGCAAAATCGGCTTTGCTGGGTAAGAAGTGTGGACAATGTGGTGGTAGGGGGGGGGTCATGATTGTCGAGATAGGAATTGGAGTGGGCTCCACGAGTCCATTGACCAAGGTCGAAGACCGAAGAGTAAATAGTGGGAGAATGTTAGGGCAAATCTTTGAATGTGTGCAACAACAGTTACAGGATCAGGCAGAGGGTTCAAGCCATTTGCGAGGTGCGGTGTCAACAACGGCTTTGGCCACAATGACACGTCTTCATCTTGAATTTCGACTTTGGGAGGTTCTAAAGGCCCTCCTGGCATGGCAGGTTTGGCTTGATTATGATGTGGGTGTAGACACGAGATGTTTGGGCATCTCAGCAGCCATCAGATCCACCTCCAATTTTAAGAGATGGTTGAAGGCTACTCATCTGTTGCGTAGGGCATCTCCTCCATGCCGTATCACAGGCAGGGGAGAGGAAAACCAGCATTGTTCCCATATTTTTCCTTCCGTTATAAACTGGCCTCAGTGTGCCTCGTGAGCACAAGCGACTGATCGCAGCAATTATGGCCAGGTCCAAAGTTAGCTCTCTTCCTTTGGCAATGCGACCTCGATAATGCGGGCGAGTAGGGCCACAGTCAGGGCCCTCTAAATGAGCTCCACTTTTACTCGAGGAATTGCTTACTCGGAAAAGCGAACTTGAAGGGTGTGAAATTTCCCCGCGTGAAATGTGACCCTTTTGTTGAGCAAGGTGACATTTCCCTAGCACGGCCTGAGGTTTTGCTCGGGAGGAGTATTTGAACCCTGAGCTCACCTCTGTCCTGGAGCCACAGCCGTTGAGCGGCCCGTAGAGCCGGGCGTATTGACCGTACGCCGTGGCGTGGCACGACGGGTCCTGAAGGCGGATGTCGTACACGGACAGCCCGCGCGATGAGATCTCGCTCAGGGGGATCAGCAGCTCCATGTAATTCGAGTTGCAGTGGAATATCCTTGACGTGCTATTGCCTGCAGACACACGCGTAACATTTACTACTTTAGACCTCACTGCTACTGGTGGGGGGTAAAGTGTGGGTACTCCCTTCTCTTCCAAGACATCTAGCCGGCACGTAAAAGCGGGTCAAATACTCTCTAAGAGGGGGCTCGATAGAGCTTGCGAAAGTGGAGGCCCCTCCGCCAGCATTGGCGTGAGCAGAAAGTTGCACTATCTTTTGATGACCACAGCGCAAGCCCTACGGTGACCCGTTTCCATGTATTGGTCACCCATCCAAGCACCATCCAGGCTAAACTCTGTTTAGCTTTCGCCAATCAGCTCTCTGCCCCTGTTAAAGTTATTTTTTTCTCAAGTACAACACACCGATGTGTTGGAGAGCAAATGTAAATGTTGTGGATTGCTCTCCAACACACCGGTGTGCTGTACTAGTGTAATGATGGTAGAGTCAGCCTGCAGTGTGAATGGACTAGTGGCCACGGGAGTCAGCCTACAGTGCAAGTGGACTAGTGGCCACGGGAGGTAATGACAGGGGAGTCAGCCTGTAGTGTGAGTGGACTGGTGGCCACGGGAGGTAATTACAGGGGAGTAAGCCTGCAGTGTGAGTGGACTAGTGGCCACGGGAGGTAATGACAGGAGAGTCAGCCTGCAGTGCGAAAGGTCTAGTGGCCACGGGAGGTAAAAACAGTGGAGTCAGCATGCAGTACAAATGGACTGGTGGCTACGGGAATGACCGAGAATAGAAGCGTGGCCAGGTGACGGAAGCGGACGGTAGAGTCTGCTGGTAGAGCGAGCGATCTAGAACCAGCGAGAAGGTTTGGAAATGGGGCGTGGCCTCGAACCGTGTATAAGGGAGATGCGCGGGAGACTCGGGGCTGTTGCGGTGGGGGTCTCCGTCTGTTCGAGTGTGAGCACGTGGCTCCTTAATAAATAAACCATCTCAAGACAAGTGCGTCGAAGTCGTCTTTACACTTGTTCTGTTTACGTGACATGTTCTGTTCACGTGACAAACCTTACTAATTGGCTGTGTCGGGTGGTGGAGGGTTTAACGATACATTTGTATTTACGCAATCTAACCCAAAAATAAGTAATATTAAAACAAAAACTTTTTAAAAAACACGCTTTAAAGAAATGTACCCTACTAGTAAAGGATTAACTCCACGACTGCAGGAAGTGGCCCCGAAGCTTGTCACAACGTAAGGGACCGTGGTGATTTACAGCCAACGTGAGTTCAGCGTGGACAATTAGACCCAAGCCGAAACATAACATATAAAAAATAATGTTTAAAATTGTTTTATTTTTTATGATAGAATATAGTTTTGTCATCGGTATGACATAAGTATACCGAGTTTGCAGTCGATGCCACATTGGGAAGTGGGTTAAAATTGAGTTACAAGATTTGAGGATACAACAACGACGACAGACAGAGCGAGTTAATAAAAAGCATGTTAAAAAAAACCGATATCATGGGAATAATTGTCATTGAAAAGCTGAACTGTGCTTGAGACTACTCTCGTGAGTAATGTAACAGGTCTTACTGGGAGCATTGGTGGGCGATGTGATGTTGCCTGTGGAAGATAAAGATAAATAAGTGTGAGCAACCGACAAGGGGAAATTACAGTCGTCATCATACCGTGCTCTCTGGATGCAAAAAAAAATGCACTCCACCCATTTTGAAATTCGCGACATTTACACAGAGACCAGCGCAACACGGGTAGAAGTACAGCGAATATTATGGTATCGGTTGCAGAACATAATGTTGACATTGTGTTTTCAGACGAGTGGTGGTGCTAAACGAATATATATATAGCATCACTATTTTCTGTGTGGCCTGCATCATTAGAACTAGTTGTTGGTTTTAATGTCGGTAACTCGGTTTGTGATCCACAGTTTCAGAACGAGCGTGCGATTCACAAGTGAACGTTAAAGATCCCGGAACGTAATGTGGGTTGGTGTCATGTCATTTACCCACTAAATTACCTGACTGAGTCACTGGGTCACTGCAGGCTATGTAACACAGCAACTTCTCGTGTGACAGCCTCGCACTATGAGAATAGCTAGAATACAAAATGCACTGCTGACGACTTGATATGCGTCTTACCGGATGGAGTAGTACTGGGAGCTGGTCCGTCCGATGATGATGGCATTTGAAAAACAGACAAAGATGTCATCATTGAGATTTCAAATAAATAACAGTTTTGATTTAAAGCTTTCGTGACTGCAGTAATTCATATTCTTAGTTTTTTCGGTAAAGTCACGTTGAAGAGAAACAACAAAATAACAAAATATATATAAAACAATAAAAAATTCTCACGACGTTTCGACCACCTGATGATGACCGTTTGAGTTATGGTCGAAACGTCGTGAGAATTTTTTATTGTTTTATATATATTTTGTTATTTTGTTGTTTCTCTTCAACGTGACTTTACCGAAAAAACTAAGAATATAAATAACAGTTATTTAGAATGGTTCACAGTGGTATCTGAACCAGTTGTGGCCCTTTCCGCTTCAGCAATCTGCACTGACCCGGATCGAACAGCCCTCATTACCAACACGAGCCATTGCACTGCATCATTCAGCAGTGAGCGCAGTCACCATAAACCTCAATGAGACTCATTTAATTGCGGTTTATATAGCAGAAGTAAAACGTGCGTTTCCTGCACCTTCCTCCATCCTAAAGGCCAATTAACACAGATGTCCGATGAACTCACACACACATATCACCTATTTTAAGCCCCGAGACTGGAGGACATTTCAGTCTTGGCAACTGTCGAATGGATCTGGTTGTAACTACCAGCGAAACATCCAAAACAAATGTTAAAGGTTGTTGTAGATCGCTCAACAACAACAAAGCACTGATGTTGCTCCTGAAGCAGTCATACATTATCCATTTATATATTTTCGTTACGTGACAACTTTATTCATTGGCTGTGTCGGGTGGCAGAGGGTGTACGACGCACATTTTACTTCTGCGATCTTCCCAACCGTCAATTATAAATCGTAATATTGGGCACGAATTGAGCCATGAGGCAAGGGCATGCTGCTCCGCTATGATAAAATGTAAGAAGTGCGGCGTCGCAGTACATACCCGTGAACCTGGCCTCTCTGTAGTTACTGGGGTGCCCGAATGTCAGCGAAGGACGGTGTTTATTTGTATTTTCGTACATAGGTAAAGGTGCAGCCTTGCAATAATTGGGCACTCACCACTGCTGGCGGAAAGGCCTTCACTAGCAGCTCTATAGAGGATATTTGACCAACTCTTCCATGCTGCCCAGATGCCTGGCCATGCAATTAACTAAGTGGTATTACACATTTATACTGCTGGGTGAACAGAGGCAGGAGGACTCAATAAACTTGGCCATTTCAACTGCCACAGCGGGAGACCGACTCAAAGTCCAGCACCGCAGATGCATCCCCACATGTTAAAAAATAAAAACCCCCAAAATAAATTTCAAAGTGACCCGTTGAATTAATTGACTCGAACGAACACGAACCTCGTGAGCAGATGACGGAGGCATCCTCATTGTGACCGCAGTTGTGACGACCCCACCCAGAGTGGTTGCATCGGGCGAGAGAAGACTCCTGGCCATAACAATTTACGTCGTCCAACCAGATCTGGCCGCTGCCGACCCCAAAGTGAGCGTTGCTCGGAGCGGACACGGCATAGCCGCAGCTCAGCTGACGGCACACCACCTCGGCGTCCTGCCGGTCCCAGCTGTCGTCGCACACGGTTCCCCACGAGCCCGCGTAGTACACCTCCACGCGGCCCTGGCACCAGCCTCCCCCGACCAGCCGGACCGGGACGTCTGTTCGTCGCAGGCAGGCGATTGGTTAACGCAGACTGCGGCGGTGGGGAACCCTTTTTATGCCAAGGGCCATTTGGATATTTGTAACATCGTTCGCGGGCCATACAAAATTATCAACTTAAAAATTTGCCTGTTATATTTTTTGTCAAACATTTCATTGACTCACCCCTAATGCGATGGCTGGAACTGCTTCTGTTTGGCGAGGCGTGGTGATGATGTTAGCTGGCTATTGACGATGTTGCTACTCGCAACTGCTTTTCCAGGTTGGCTCCTAGATTTATTGAATTTAGAGTCCCGCCTGCGGTTGCCTTGGCAGGCCCAGAGACCCAAATGATTTTGCGGGCCTCATACGGCCCGTGGGCTGGACGTTCCCCAACCCCTGAGTCGTAGAGGCTCGTATCGCGAGTCAGACAAGGCGACCAGAGCGGTTGTCAGGTGGCCGGCTGCATCGGAGGTCAAAGCCACTGAGCTCACGGCGCTTCGAACACGCAACTAAAATCCTGACAGCCTCGGCCCTGGCAGGAAGGGACATGGCTATGTCCTATGAAAATGAATCCCACCAGAGGTGAGTTGTTGGCTTGTGCCCCCCCCAAACCCTGCTGTGTCTGCTGTGTACACATGGACACATGTGATAGCACCCCTGAGATCTTTGTGTTCAAATTCAGGCAAGCCTGCTTGTGACGAAACTGGGTTCTCAAGTATACCGAGTTGATTGTTACAACCTGGTCACCACCAATTACTGGCAACACAGGGCTAAGGATATCTAAAATATTAGGCACATAAATCAGTGCATCCACAGCCTGCATAGAGACAGCACAACTTGGAAAGCAGCTCTGTTGGGGAGGGCACGGGCAACCCTTAGCATGATTTAGATCGTTTTCAATAGATTCAGTCAAATAACAGCAACACACTTTCCAACCTGCACTCAACGATATTTTGATTTGTTACGAAGATTTGTATTCTAAACTTGCTTTCAAATCGGATCTTTACCAGGGTTATGATGCCCCACGAAGTCACAGCCGAATAAAATAACAGTACGAATGCATTCAAGCGTTTAACCTTTCTTGGAAAGCAATATAAAGCCAATTAACCTGTGAGTTTCTGTGATCGAGACGACTTTTGCATGTGGTGTAAAGATCTTACCAGGTGAAAGAGTAGAATCCAATTCTGATGGCAGAGACGGCATGTGAAAGACAAACGCGCGCCAGTAATTATCGACGTAACATTGCATCGCAATTTTCTGCAAGCCGGCAATTCACACTGAGAAAGAGTAAAAAGTAACACATGGATCAAGCGGCATACACGAGGGTAGCCAGAGATGTAATGTTGACTCTTAAGATGGGTTTCACTGGACAGATCGACAGTGCGAATGCATCTCGTCTTAACACGCTTATCTAGAATGAGTGAAAAATCCAAGAATAACAACGTAACAGTTATACGATGGGGGGGGGGGGGGGGGGGGGGGGGGGGGGGGGGGGGGGGGGGGGGGGGGGGGGGGGGGGGGGGGGGGGGGGGGGGGGGGGGGGGTTGCTGTTATCTGGACCGCTTGTGTGTGGCATGTGTCACAACCGCCATGTGCAAGATCTTACCGGGTGAAGAAGTGGAACCTGTTAGCCACAGAGAGACGCCGTTGGGAAGAGACAAACACACGGCAGTAGTTACTCGTGTGTAACATATTGCACTAATCTTTTATGCCCCCTTTAAAAACAACAACAACAACAACAACACATTGATAGGTGCAAGCTTGCGGTTACGCTCATTGATGTTTCTCTGGCACATCCGAGCCAAGCCAGTGGATTTCCACTGGCTATTTGCCGTTGCCAAGAAAGAACCATGACACACTGGCTTCATGCGAAATCTGGCTTCTGGGGAACCAAGCCAGGGGCGGTGCTAATGACGCATTCATTGCGTGTGACATCGGTCAGTACACCGCGAGGAGCCGGCATCACCATGTCGTCCACGTAAGCCTAAGCTCGTTCGTTGCATGTGACATCAATGGCAGGGCTCAGATTCTGCAGTGGATAAGCAACCTCTGGTGCCTCTTATGCCCCACCAGGTAGGCTCGGCATGACCCCTCCCACCGTGCAAAATGGTTATGAGAGATAGGAAGGCGAACACATAAATCAAGAAACACTCACAAGTTAGAGACATTGTATTAACTGTGAATAAAAGTAAGATACTTAGAAGGGATGATGGCGAGTTGTCGATGGTAATTGCAGAGTGGCAGCCAAAGGAGGAAAATGCACAAGATGCTGTCGACCGTAGAGATGGAACTAAATTGCATGCTGGGGGGTATTCCCCAGCATCTGATAAATCACGGCTGACGATGATCATTGTACCCCATGGCAAGCCTGCCCGTGTGAGCGGCGCTTGCATTTACACCTCAGCGTGTGCGGCAAAGGGCAGCAGACGATGCAGGGCAGGCACTGCCCTCTCACCGTAGTAGTAGTATTCGCAGTTGGTGCCCGTCCAGGACGAGCGGCAGTGGCACCGGTAGTAAGGGTAGTACGGAAGGTTCGTGCAGCTGCCCCCGTTCTGACACGGGTGTGAGTAGCACGCCCCTGCAGAGAAACACAATCTCGTCGTGTCGTTCATCGCGATGCCTTGTGCCCTTGTGCTCATATCTGTTGTTGGTGATCCCTGGGCCAATCTTGGAAATTCTACATTCCAATAGTGGGACGAGTCTCTCCACAGGACAACACTGGTGTCACTGGTGAATGTTCACGAGGTGTTGTTGTAACCCGGAGCGACGTTGAGCTGAGTCTATTCCCGACCAGCATTCAAACTCACAAGCTACGGTTTCTGGGTCAGGCCCTATGTCTGGCACTGGATATTTACTGAGCCTTGAGTTACCCTCTTGAAAATTAGTCCTGAATCTCAGGGAGGTATTCCTGGATGACGTTATTCTTCTTGTTGGCCAAACTTCCTGTGATGCCGATGATAACAGTTTAGATGGTAATGCTGGGCACAAGGTCCAAAGTGATGCTCTTGAGGCCTCCCCCAGGTTAACTAAGCCTTAAATTATATATCAATTCGTGTAATTACATCACTACTGTGGCTCACAACCAGAAGAATCGGAGCAACAACAACCACCACACGATTGACTCTCATTGCCACCTATGCCTCTACAACATCTGCTCTGTCTGGAGTCTTTCCCATAGCTCGCTGTGAATCTGTGACAGCATATCTTACCGTAGTAGCCAGTTGTGAGCTCTATAAAAACAAGACAAGGAATACAATTAAGAATAGATTCCGTAACACTTCCCAACATGCATTTATTCTCGTAAGCATATAAACGGTTGAAGTTTGCTTTATTTAACCAGGTGATAACTCAAGAAACCAGAATCGAGTCTAATTTTGCAAGAGTGACCTGGGGTGTTAGTCTACCAGTAGCGGACAATGATTGTAACGTGTAGTCCAAACTGAGTAATACGCGGGTCATTTTCGAATTCAGCAAATTTGGATCTTAACGCCGGGACACAATGGCCTACTCTTGTGAAGGATGCAACAGGATCCTTAACGTCCACTGTGAAGCAGGCGACGTGTATTGTGGTTATTACCCGTGCAGTAATAATCAGGGCGGCGGCTGAATTCCAGCCATGAAGGTCAGCAACAAGCAGCACAAATGTGCCACTGTTAGGCCGTTGCATATCTGTCAACTCCTTATCAGTGCCCTTCCTTGTTGGTCACCCCGTGCCCCTTATAAATCTCAACGTTCATCTTACAAAGTCCCATCACAAGGGAGAAACACAAACAAATAGACAAACACAATGTTGCCTGTATTGAAACGGCTGTATGTCGTTTGGACCTCAAAACTCAATTACCCCGTACAAGTATACGGGTACACCGTATGGGTTGACAGATATGGCCATGTCAATCGGTTGCAGTAACGGCTGTCCATGTGCCAGTTGCGTGGGAAGCAGTGTGTCCTTAGCCCATGATGAGACACCGGGGTTTTGTAAGAGACTTTGCCGAGAAGGGCACGGGTAACCTGGTAATACATTCTGGAGACATCTCGAGGGCAAGTCAAACCTTAGAGGGAAAGCGTTTAAAAGGCAAGGATGAACAAGTAACAATAAGCCTGGGGGTTGCTGTGATCGAGATTGTGTGTGGCGTACCACCAACACAGTGTGCGAGATCTTACCAGGTGCATCCGTAGAATGTGCTCCTGATGGCCGAGAGGGCATGTGAAAGAAAAACACATGCGCCAGTGATTACCGATGTCACACTGCACGGCAAGTTTCTGCACGCTGTTACTTACACAAATAGATAGGAAGAGGAACTCATGGATCAAGGAACGTACACAAGTTAGAGACATAACATCAACTGTTAACGTGAAGTAAATGGGTTTAGGCACATCACTGAAAGGAATTATAGGAGGTCGTCAAGACTAATGACAAATTGTCAGTCAAATGAGGGAACACTAAATGATTAACAGCCAAAGGAAATGGAGCAATTAAATGGGCTCATGCGTAGGCGCTTTGTGAATTGTTACATAGCAGGAAAGTGATTAAGACTTTGGGAGCAATTCATCCAGCAGTGGAGACATAATGGCTGATGGTTGTATTGTAATTCGTGCGTGGCTGCCGGTGTGATTGATGTTTACATGTACACCAGGACATGTGCCACAGGAGCAGTAAACGATGCATGGCAGGCTCTGTCCTCTCACCGTAGTATTCGCAGTTGGTACCCCACCAGTACGAGGGGCAGTAGCACTGGTAGTAGGGGTAGTTCCAATATTCCGCACAGGTTCCGCCATGCTGGCATGGGTTCCGCTGGCAAACACCTGCAGAGAAACAAACTCTCATCACGTCACGTGCCAGGGCTTCCTAGTAGTGGTCTCTCGTTGATTAGGGATGGAGTAGACCTAGTACTAATTCATTAGGGATCGAGTAGGTCTAATACTAATCATTAGGGAAGAAGTAGGCGAAGTACTAGTCACTTGTTGATTATGATGGGGTAGGCCTCGTACTAGTTACTAGTTCATTAGGGATGGGGTCAGCCGAGTACTAGTCACTACTTCATGAGGGATTGGGGTAGGCCTAAGACGAGTCACGAGTTAGGTTAAAGTCATTGTTTTGCACAATACATTATTACAATTCAGTCAGCCAATCGCTCACTCACTACAATACATTACTCATCGGAAAAGCATGCATTAAATTATGTTCCATCCATCTGGACTACAGACTCTAGATCCCACTCATGCCGGATTTGTAAGCCGCCATTTTGCAGGAGTCACGTGATCTCTGTCTGATTGGAAGTTGTTGCCTCCGTTGCCCACGAGGACGCAGCTTGAATCAAAAGTGTTCAGATTTTTGCGCCGAGGGGGTGGGGGGTGATAATAAATATCAATATTTTCAACGGGAAATGGAACGAATGCCCTAAAATTGCCCTTATGGATCAGGGCATTTAAGGAAGAACTCAAGCAGAAAACTCTTTATGATGAACAGCCACAATCACACGTAAGGGGTTTACTCCCCTTCGTGTATTATCCACATCTAAACATTGTGGGGTGCTCGAAAACCCACGACACCCACGGTGTCTGTGCGCTGGAGGAGAGGGCACTCACTAGAGTGGGTCGTATCCTCTGCGCCGGGTAGGGTAGTTGATTCTGATGGCAGAGAGGGCATGTGAAAGAGAAACGCGTGGAAGAGATTACCAATGCAATATAGTACGGTACCCTTTTGCATGCTGCAATTATGCTGACACAGGAAAAGGAGCACATGGATCAAGGGATATACACGAGCTGGCAGACATCATATTGACTCCTAAGAAAAGTAAATGGGTTAGGACAGACAGACCTAACTCATTACCTCTTACAAGATAATCTTGAAAACGTTTAATTTCCAAAAAAACAACAATGAATCTTTGGAATTATTGTGATTGAGATGGCTTGTGTGTGGCGTACCACCAACACAGTGTGCGAGATCTTACCAGGTGCGTCCGTAGAATGTGCTCCTGATGGCCGAGAGGGCATGTGAAAGAAAAACACATGCGCCAGTGATTACCGATGTCACACTGCACGGCAAGTTTCTGCACGCTGTTAATTACACAAATAGATAGGAAGAGGAACTCATGGATCAAGGAACGTACACAAGTTAGAGACATAACATCAACTGTTAACGTGAAGTAAATGGGTTTAGGCACATCACTGAAAGGAATTATAGGTCTTCAAGACTAATGACAAATTGTCAGTTAAATGAGGGAACACTAAATGATTAACAGCCAAAGGAGATGGAGCAATTAAATGGGCTCATGCGTAGGAGCTTCGTGAATTGTTACATGGCAGGAAAGTGATTATGACTTTGGGAGCAATTCATCCAGCAGCGGAGACATAATGGCTGATGGTTGTATTGTAATTCGTGCGTGGCTGCCGGTGTGATTGATGTTTACATGTACACCAGGACATGTGCCACAGGAGCAGTAAACGATGCATGGCAGGCTCTGTCCTCTCACCGTAGTATTCGCAGTTGGTACCCCACCAGTACGAGGGGCAGTAGCACTGGTAGTAGGGGTAGTTCCAATATTCCACACAGGTTCCGCCATGCTGGCATGGGTTCCGCTGGCAAACACCTGCAGAGAAACAAACTCTCATCACGTCACGTGCCAGAGCTTCCTAGTAGTGGTCTCTCGTTGATTAGGGATGGAGTAGACCTAGTACTAATTCATTAGGGATCGAGTAGGTCGAATACTAATCATTAGGGAAGAAGTAGACGAAGTACTAGTCACTTGTTGATTATGATGGGGTAGGCCTCGTACTAGTTACTAGTTCATTAGGGATGGGGTCAGCCGAGTACTAGTCACTACTTCATGAGGGATTGGGGTAGGCCTAAGACGAGTCACGAGTTAGGTTAAAGTCATTGTTTTGCACAATACATTATTACAATTCAGTCAGCCAATCGCTCACTCACTACAATACATTACTCATCGGAAAAGCATGCATTAAATTATGTTCCATCCATCTGGACTACAGACTCTAGATCCCACTCATGCCGGATTTGTAAGCCGCCATTTTGCAAGAGTCACGTGATCTCTGTTTGATTGGAAGTTGCTGCCTCCGTTGCCCACGAGGACGCAGCTTGAATCAAAAGTGTTCAGATTTTTGCGCCGAGGGGGTGGGGGGTGATAATAAATATCAATATTTTCAACGGGAAATGGAACGAATGCCCTAAAATTGCCCTTATGGATCAGGGCATTTAAGGAAGAACTCAAGCAGAAAACTCTTTATGATGAACAGCCACAATCACACGTAAGGGGTTTACTCCCCTCCGTGTATTATCCACATCTAAACATTGTGGGGTGCTCGAAAACCCACGACACCCACGGTGTCTGTGCGCTGGAGGAGAGGGCACTCACTAGAGTGGGTCGTATCCTCTGCTCTGGGTAGAGTAGTTGATTCTGATGGCAGAGAGGGCATGTGAAAGAGAAACGCGTGGAAGAGATTACCAATGCAATATAGTACTTCTGCATGCTGCAATTATGCTGACACAGGAAAAGGAGCACATGGATCAAGGGATATACACGAGCTGGCAGACATCATATTGACTCCTAAGAAAAGTAAATGGGTTAGGACAGACAGACCTAACTCATTACCTCTTACAAGATTATCTTGAAAACGTTTAATTTCCAAAAAACAACAATGAATCTTTGGAATTATTGTGATTGACATGGCTTGTGTGTGGCGTACCACCAACACAGTGTGCGAGATCTTACCAGGTGCGTCCGTAGAATGTGCTCCTGATGGCCGAGAGGGCATGTGAAAGAAAAACACATGCGCCAGTGATTACCAATGTCACACTGCACGGCAAGTTTCTGCACGCTGTTAATTACACAAATAGATAGGAAGAGGAACTCATGGATCAAGGAACGTACACAAGTTAGAGACAATATCAACTGTTAACGTGAAGTAAATGGGTTTAGGCACATCACTGAAAGGAATTATAGGAGGTCGTCAAGACTAATGACAAATTGTCAGTCAAATGAGGGCACACTAAACGATTAACAGCCAAAGGAGATGGAGCAATTAAATGGGCTCATGCGTAGGAGCTTCGTGAATTGTTACATAGCAGGAAAGTGATTAAGACTTTGGGAGCAATTCATCCAGCAGCGGAGACATAATGGCTGATGGTTGTATTGTAATTCGTGCGTGGCTGCCGGTGTGATTGATGTTTACATGTACACCAGGACATGTGCCACAGGAGCAGTAAACGATGCATGGCAGGCTCTGTCCTCTCACCGTAGTATTCGCAGTTGGTACCCCACCAGTACGAGGGGCAGTAGCACTGGTAGTAGGGGTAGTTCCAATATTCCACACAGGTTCCGCCATGCTGGCATGGGTTCCGCTGGCAAACACCTGCAGAGAAACAAACTCTCATCACGTCACGTGCCAGGGCTTCCTAGTAGTGGTCTCTCGTTGATTAGGGATGGAGTAGACCTAGTACTAATTCATTAGGGATCGAGTAGGTCTAACACTAATCATTAGGGAAGAAGTAGACGAAGTTCTAGTTACTTGTTGATTATGATGGGGTAGGCCTCGTACTAGTTACTAGTTCATTAGGGATGGGGTCAGCCGAGTACTAGTCACTACTTCATGAGGGATTGGGGTTGGCCTAAGACTAGTCACAAGTTAGGTTAAAGTCATTGTTTTGCACAATACATTATTACAAGTCAGTCAGCCAATCGCTCACTCACTACAATACATTACTCATCGAAAAAGCATGCATTAAATTATGTTCCATCCATCTGGACTACAGACACTAGATCCCACTCATGCCGGATTTGTAAGCCGCCATTTTGTAGGAGTCACGTGATCTCTGTCTGATTGGAAGTTGCTGCCTCCGTTGCCCACGAGGACGCAGCTTGAATCAAAAGTGTTCAGATTTTTGTGCCGAGGGGGAGGGGGGTGATAATAAATATTTTCAACGGGAAATGGAACGAATGCCCTAAAATTGCCCTTATGGATCAGGGCATGTAAGGAAGAACTCAAGCAGAAAACTCTTTATGATGAACAGCCACAATCACACATGAGGGGTTTACTCCCCTCCGTGTATTATCCACATCTAAACATTGTGGGGTGCTCGAAAACCCACGACACCCACGGTGTCTGTGCGCTGGAGGAGAGGGCACTCACTAGAGTGGGTCGTATCCTCTGCTCCGGGTAGAGTAGTTGATTCTGATGGCAGAGAGGGCATGTGAAAGAGAAACGCGTGGAAGAGATTACCAATGCAATATAGTACGGTACCCTTCTGCATGCTGCAATTATGCTGACACAGGAAAAGGAGCACATGGATCAACGGATATACACGAGCTGACAGACATCATATTGACTCGTAAGAAAAGTAAATGGGTTAGGACAGACAGACCTAGCTCATTACCTCTTACAAGATTATCTGAAAACGTTTAATTTCCAAAAAACAACAATGCATCTTTGGGATTATTGTGATTTAGATGGCTTGTGTGTGGCGTGTCACCACCGTGCGTGAGATCTTACCAGGTGTAGACGTAGAGATAAAAACACACCAGTGAATATTGGTGGAATCGTCTCCTGTACTTTTCACATTTAAAATCACTTGGAATTACACTGATAGAGACACGCATAGATGAGACGACATTGCAAGCGTGTTTAAAGTTTTTTTTGGTTATTTTATTCAACCAGGTGACCTGCGGAATTAGTCTGCCAGTAGGGGGCGATGATTGATAGGTACATTGAGTAAATTGTGGGTAAATCTTTAAGATGCATCCAATCAAATGTGCTTAGGCAGGACATGTTTCTGGAAAAGATGATGGCCGAGAGAACGTTCACAGTTGAGATAGTCACGAAGTTGGCTCGCGTGTGGGAGATTGCTGGATTGTTGCATCGCAAGACCATGAGAGATAGCGATGGCTTGGAGGCCTTAAACCAGCATTGGGTAAATCATGTTTGATGATGATGATGATTGTACCCCATGGCAAGCCTGAATGTGTGTAGCGGCGCTTGCATTTACACTTCGGCGTGTGCGGCAAAGGGCAGCAGACGATGCAGGGCAGGCACTGCCCTCTCACCGTGGTAGTAGTATTCGCAGTTGGTGCCCGTCCAGGACGAGCGGCAGTGGCACCGGTAGTAGGGGTAGTACGGAAGGTTCGTGCAGCTGCCCCCGTTCTGACACGGGTGTGAGTAGCACGCCCCTGCAGAGAAACACAATCTCGTCGTGTCGTTCATCGCGATGCCTTGTGCCCTTGTGCTCATATCTGTTGTTGGAGGCAGGGCTGAACGCTTTGGGGAAATCTCTAATTGCGATTTTTCCGACAGATATTGCGATTTGATTTGCGATTCCATTTTTTTAAAGTCAAGCTTCAGTTCAATATTCGCTGTGTAGTAGATTTTAAACATGTGATGGAGCATTACCACATGATACCATCAAAATATTAACTGCTCTACATATTGTAATGCAAGGATGATAAACTTAAAATATATTAATTGCTTCCAACATGTATTTATTAAAACATTTTAATTGAAATAGAACAATCTCTTCATAGGACGACACTTCCCACTGCTGTATTGCCACAAGGTGGTACTCCTTTTTGTAACCTGGATGGATGGCGAGCCAAGCCATTTCCCAACCGGAAATCAAACTCACAACCCACGGTTTATGGACTAGGCCCTCTGCCTGGCAGCAGAGCTTCACTGAACCTCGAGGTACCCTTCTAAAAACGATTCATGAGACTTAGTGAGGTATTCCTGGATAATTGGCATTGTTTTTAGTGTTAGCTAAACATCCAAGAGTATGACCCATCTGAAAATGAGTGGCATGATGCTGACAGCGAAAATTTTTATTTTGTAAATGATGATACATCACCTAATGCACCATCAAAGGTCATACTCTTGGGGCCACCCCTAGGTCAACTTAGGCTGAATGAGCAACCTGGTGCATGTGATTACATCAGCAGCATGTCCCACAACCACAACCACAACAAAAACCACCAAAATAATTACACACTGATCGAGACCTACGTCTCTTGGGAGTCAATCCGATAGCACTCTGTGGATCTGTAACAGCATATCTTACCGTAATAGCCAGTTGTGGGTCCTGTAAAAAAAAGACAGGGAAGACACATTATACATAGGATCTGTAACACTTCCAAACATGCATTTGTCCTCGTTTTCATGTAGTTAGTGATGGTTAAGGCAGTGCTTTGTGCCAGCTGCGTAGGAAGCAGCTCGTCCGAAGCCAGCAATGAGACAACGGTGATCGGATAGCGGCTCTGCAGGGGAAGGCGCTGGCAAACCCTTTGATCAACTCCATAGGGCAAGTGCAAAACAGCAACACGACTTCATACCAAAGTTTCGTTCACATTGGATAATTTTTACGAGATTTATTGTTCCTCCTCCTTTGCATTTTTTGTTTTTTTTTGGAGCCAGGCTGGTCAAAATTTAGTCAACTGGAGGGCACAAAAGAACGTATTTGTTTATATCGCTATAACGGCACACATTTAAAACGCACAACAAAGGAACATTAATAATATATATATATACACCTGAGAAGAATAATAATTCAAAAACATTTTCCCACACACGGTAGGCCAGATCTAACGAGTGGAACTCTTTAAACCTTAGCTGGATAGTGTTTAGAATGCTAAGCTGCAACTGCAAAAATTTAGCCTGGGGACTGATGCAATTGTGAGCGTTGCTGGGCATGCGGTGTGTCGCCACCGCGTGCGTGAGATCTTAGCGGCTGAAGTCGCGCAATGAGCGACGTCACAGACCACTTACCCTGTGACACAAGCGCACGCGTGAACGGGCGGTCACCAAGTCAATCAAGGCCACTGATTGGTGCAGGGAGGGCCTCAAAGACGATTGCTTCGGATCAGAGATTCAAAGGGGATTGGAGGAGAGATTCAAACGTGAAAGGCGGGAAACGAGGGTTGACCGTAGTGGCGACGGTTGACAACCGTTGGGAGGAGGAGGAGGAGGCGGACGAGGATTGGCTGAAGGGAGTGGGGTGAGCGAAGCTTCCAGTAAGGGGCCATCCACTCAGTACGTACGCATGGAGGGGGGAGGGAGGGTAACCCAAATGCGTACGCCTGTGTATTGGGGGGTCTACTGACAATGCACGCATAGGAAACGGGGGGGGGGGGGTGAAGCCTCGATAATAATTTGTCTACATTGGCCTTCAAATGAGTTAGATAGTCCGGCGGTGGACTATCTGTTTGCTTAAACGCGTTAAATATTATTATTAATCCTTGATCGTTTCTGCGTGGATTAAATATCGGCCGTTCTATAGGATTCGGGGGGGAGGGGGGGGTGCGTCAGGCGTACGTATGCAGGTGGTGGGGGGGGGGCTGTAAAAAGTCTGCGTGCGTACATGGAGGGGTGGAGGGGTCACGTTTTGACAGATTTTTGCGTACCTACTCAATGGGTGGGCCCCTAAGGGAGCTCGGAGGACACAAAAGGGGACAGGCACGAGGGGAGGAGAGAAGACGAAGTCCAAGCATCAAGAGCCGAAGCCCCGGCCGAGAAAAGAAGAGCTCTGTCCGAATAAAATAAAGGTTCTTAATAATAAAGAAAGTTGTGTCGGCGTCACTGCAGTAATATATCCTGCTCCGGCAAGGGCATCGCAAAGAGGCAATACACACGCCGGTGATTGACCGCTTTCGGTAAAGTCACGCAGGTATAAAATAAAATCAATCTACGTGACTTTACCGAAAGAACCAAGGAGCATGGGTTCCTGCAGTCACGAAAGCTTCAAATCAGGATCGCTGTAATATTGTATTGCACTTTTTTTGCGCTTAATAAAATAGCATGGAGAAGTGCAAGCTTGAAATAACGTTGAGAGACAAGAAGATGCACGCATCTGTAGTGACCACCCAGAAATTGGAAAATGTTTAATATTATAATAATGAAATAGGAAAGGGACTACAGTATGAAAATATTAAAGAGTGAGTGAGGCAAAGGGACTTTTTGATGTACTTCCAGTACGAATAAAGATGGCTTATAAGTTACTCCGGTGAGGTTCACTCAACTTTAGCTTCCTATAAGTATTCTAATACGTTATACATAACGTGGCAATATATACCGCTTATAATGCACATGCTGGAAATAATGACATCATCTCCGACAAGTAAGACGTCGTCATTTCAATTCCATCGAATCACTCCGAACATTAAATATTTGAAAAGTATAAAAAATCTATTTTAAAGATGATCGTGATGCGATTATGATTATCGTCGGTCGTACATCGATAATATATCGTCATATTGCCATATCGTGACGCCTGCATCTGGCACCGACGCTTCTTTGCCCTCCAAGCAGCATGGCGAACGGGCGTGTGGACGAGAGAGTCAGACTCCTTAGCAAGAGTCGAGAGGGGATACAACGTCACCCAATACAAATACCGTATCAATTTAAACTTCATTCAACTGCCTCCATGCGTAAAGTATTATATGCATGTCCTGCATGGCTTAATATATCAATCCATGCACAACTGCCACGTGTGTTTTATAGGTGCACTCCGATTACGTCACAAGGCAAAGAGGCCGATGGGACTTGGGTAAAAACACATTTACTGCAGACAGCAACGAACTTTTTCTTTCGTTACTTTAGCCTACGTCACAAGAAGCAGGTTTAAACATCTTACCGGCATCGACGGTGGTTCCTGATGGATTGCACGTATGAAATAAAAACACACGCACATGCATACACGTGTCAATAATGTATACATCGTGTTATCGTGTCTTGCAGTCAATTCATTGTCAAGGTGCTTATACAAACGCCGAGAAGAATTCATCTCCATGCTGGCCTAGAACCGGTGGTGGAATTTCAACATTCGCATGGACGAAGGCCCACCATACATTATGTAGAAGGTTTACACGCACCCGTGAGACCCACCGCGCCGCCGATAAGGATTTCCAATATCTAGTGTTTTGCAATTTTACGATTGCCACCACCCACCGCTCCCCTCTCCCAATTCTCATCGATTGTCATCCCTTTCAACGTTGCGGAGGGCGTTAGCGGGCCTCCACCGACACGAGGTCTCTTTTCCGTGCAAAGTATACGAATCGAGTAATAAGATCGAAGAGCGTGCGCACACACGCGATCAGGTGCACGTTTTGATTTAGCTTAAGAGATGCATTGTGCATTGCACCACCGGTACGATCGCAATTCGTGTCTCCTAATGATCATTGCTGTAATCATTTCAGCTTGGAACGCGCCGGATAGCATTTGCTTACTCTTGCCGAATGCGAGGAGGAACCACAGGCAAGTTGGAAAAGCAGCCACGCGGTGAGCCAGCAGCCAACAATTGCCGAAGCTCTGCAATCCTCTACATAATAAGGTGTTATCGACCGATGAACGAGTGTTTATATGTGGCAGGAAACCAGAGCACCAGGAAGAAACCGACGCATGTGAGGGGGAAGCACTAAATCCCTTACAGACGAAACAGGTAAGATTCCACACTTTAGCTTCTGGAAAGCCAGGGAATGGCACCTCCGACACCCATGGAAAGGGAGTTTCACAATATTCATGCAGTGATCCACTAACCCTCGCCTCCACAGTGCTGGGCTATTACGGGCCACGGCATAGCCACCATCGCCCAGCTAATGAGCAAAAGGGCCTTGAACGATCTCGGTTTACAATAAGCTTCACAATGACATGTGGTAAGCGTCTCTAAACAGCATCGCGATGCTACCCGCTTAGGTACAAAGTGAACACGTTAAAAAAAAACGCCTCTGGCGTAAAAAAGAAAATCGCGTCAGGTTTTTCACACGGTAACAGAAACTCCTTACCGTAGCTACCGGCATCTGCTCCGGATGAGAGAATGGTGAAGAGATTTGTAAAAAGACAGAAACACAAAACACGGGGATTACGATGGTAACGCACACAACGTGAAGCTCATTTCGAATGAGTTTTTTTTTGTAAGTCCGAACATTATTGCACACTCGTATAAGTCCAGGCCATCACAAATTCACCGCGCTCATCACACACACAGTTGACTCTTTGGAATAACATCACTGTTTTAAGTCTGTTGCAAAACCGTTCCCCCCCCCCCCCCCCCCCATTCCTATCGTAGGCTAGGGTAAGATGCCTACGTGGGCTAAAAGGCCATGTTTGTCTTTGTTCATTGGAGCTGCAGACACCAGCGGCAGAGGGAGGGGGGGGGGGATCCCCGAGAGGAGGTTGCCAATCTGCACCTCAACCTGATCATGGCTGATGACGTTACTTCTGTCAGCACGAGGACGAGCGGCCATTTTCCCCCCACGTAACCCTCTTACTCCACCCGACCCTCGTGTTATTATTCCCATCAACACGTCCGTAAAACACATCCCGCACCCACACGGAACACGAAGGCAGCATACGAGACGAGCGTATTAATTATAACGACATTCTCTTTGGCACTTTCGGTAAAGTCACGTGGTTAGAAATAAAATTAAACACAACCGGTCGCCTGATCACGACCGCTTGTGTTGCGTGCGAAACGTCGCGATTTGTCTCATTTATTTATTTATTTTCTATCCACCCACGTGACGTTACCGAAAGAACCAAAGAAAGCATGGATTTCCTGCAGTGACGAAAGCTTCGAATCAAAAAAATCATAATGACCATGTGAGCAGATGACGGATGCGTCCTCTCCGTGGCTGCAGTCGTGGCTGTTCCAACCATTAAAAAGGCAGTGCGACAGATAGGACTCGGAGCCGCTGCAGTACACCTCGTCCATCCAGATGGGGCCCGAGCCCATGCCGAAGCGGGCGTGGGTCGGAGCGTACACGGCGTAACCGCAGCCCAGCTGGCGGCAAACCACGCTCGCGTCTTCAATTCCCCAGTTGTCGTCGCACACCGTGCCCCACCGCCCGCTGTAGAGGATCTCCACGCGGCCGGAGCACGAGCCACCCTGCACTAGCCGGACCGGTAAGTCTGAGGGGGAGGGGGGGGGGGGGGTCGCGGAAGGTGCGTCAAGAGACAAAGATGATGATGATGATGATTCGTCACGATCGAGATGATTCGGTGATGATGACGACGAGGGTGATGGTGAGAGTGCTGAATCAGGGGGCCAAGTCCGTGCTGGTGAGTGTTGGTGAGGCCTTCTGGTGGTAGTGTTGGTGAGTGTGAGCGACTGTTGGTGAGCACTGGTCACTAATGCGGACGGGTTGCCTGTGAGCTTCCACGGTGAGTGCAGTTTTTGCGAGTAGTGGTGTTGGTTTACTATAGGGTCCACACAACCCAAACTATGGACCTGTAGTAGACCACTGTAGTCTGCGCTCCTTCAGCGGATGAGGAGGAAGAATAGCAAAACGAGACGAGCTCTCTCAGACGTCGTGACCAGCAGCGGCAGCAGTAGCAGCAGCAGACCTCAACATTGTCATTGAGCTCCTGAACATACTGCTGGCATCATTCGAAAGAATAACAATTGTTGAATTCGTTAGGAAGCTTTGAAAGTGATCACTGATTGAATAATTGAAAGCGGGCTCAGGGGCCGTCCATAAATGACGTCACGCGATTTTGGACGATTTTTTACCCCACCCCCTCGTCACACGGCGTCACAAAAAGGTAGACCCACCCTCAAATATGACGTCACAAAGCTCTGCCACCCCCCCCCCCCCCCCAAAATAAAACATGCTTCAAATTGCTTTAAACGATTGTCATTGTAGTGCGCATTTAATGTGGCGCTGCACTGTGATGTTGTAGGAGAAAACATTTATTACAAAGTCTATTTAATTAAGTAGAACGTGTTGTCTATATTTAAAGTTGCGCATTTTGATGTGACGTCACATTTCTCAACCCCCCCCCCCCTCCCCCTTTCCTCGTCACACATCGTCACAAATGTCTAACCCCCACCCCACCCCCCCCCCCCCCCCCCCAGGTGCGTGACGTCATGTATAGACGGCCCCTCAGACCAAATTGAGGCTCATAAAAGAAAGCGACTCTGAAGCAGAGCTGTGAAAGCCATCCATGCAACGTGGGGTGCTTCTGGCGCATGCCCCGCTGTTTCCTCATGAGTGCTGCCGCTTCTTCCTATGGCCGGTGTTGATGTCGACGATTGAGTCAATGCCTCCTTTTGCATTTGCCAATGGTGCACTGATTGTGTCTAAGTTCGATGTTCCGTGGTCCTGTTCCGGTTGGTGACCACAGTCTCCGCGTCAACATCATCGCTCGCTATCCACATCACCTCCAACTGCAACGCTTACTGAACGACCTTGATCGTGTCGTCCTTGGTGTCCATCATCTACCGCTCGACTCGGCCAACGCTCTCCGTACTCATCATTGGCTCCCTTTTGCCAGCAGGACAAATGATAAAATCGCCTGCCTTTGTCATCGAACCTTCACCACCGGTTCCCCAGCATACGTGGCCTCACTACTCTCGCCTTGCGCCGAATCACACGGTAGAACCCTACGCAGCGTCGCTCAAAATCTGCTTCGGACACCAAGGTCTCGAACTGTTACAGCCTCACGTCGATTCTCTGCTGTCGCCCCTCTCGCTGTGGAACTCTCTATCCCTTTGCACATCCGCAACATCAAATGCACTCTGACTTTCAAGAAACATCTGTTTGGGTCGGGGCTTTCGAGCAGCCCTGAGGTTGGCTCCGAGCCTCTGAGTTGCTGACTTGTCTGAAAAATCTGGCACATAAATATTATTATTATTATTATCTGCTGCTGTTGCCTTGGTTTGTGCATTGGATGCAGTTTAGGGTTGTGGCCCCAGAAGCTTTGCAGAAGATCGAAGCCAGCAATAGCGTTGCTGCTCAGTGATCTTCAAAAACAAAGAGTATACTCTTGTACGTAGCACGTGTAGGTTTAAACCACTTGTTGCCATGAAATTGGTTATGAAAATGTTGCGTTATTAAGAACACGAATGGTACAAGTGTGTCTACGTTTTGCGAAATGGAAATGTGTCTAGATTTTGCAAGAAGGAGAGTTACGTACCAGCTTCATGAGTGACATGTGACAATTCTGTGCCCGCTGTAATACAAAAACAAAAACACGCAGACATTGAAGAGCCGTCACCACGCAAAAACCCGGTTGCAGGAAACAAGGTAGAAGCTAGAGTCAGAGCCGTCCCTAGGGTACGGCGAATCTGGGCGACCGCCCCGGGCCCCGCGATTTTGGGGGTGGGGGGGGGGGCGTGCTTCGACGTCATGGTGTCAGATGAAATACTTCCGGTTTAGTTTGAAGGCGTGGGGGGAGGGGCACAGTGTAAGCCGCCCTAGACCCCGCACCACCCCCCCCTTTGGAAAGCCCTAGCTACTACAGTACACCACTGCAGATCCGACTGACGCACATCGGCCCTGAGCAGTTGACCACCCCCACACACCCAATGCAGCATTTGTTGACGGTGCGATTGTAATTTTCCAAGCAATTCATTCTTAATCTTGCGTACGATTTTATTACAGCTCTAATATCGATTTCCCATCCACGGATAGCATGAGTAGCGGTGATATCTGAACCCCGGTACTGAGAGCCCACACTTTTACCAAATCGCATTGACTCACGCGGGGAGGCTCTCATCATCCAGCAGTAAATAGACAAAGTGCGGCATGTATAGTTTTGCAGTGTTCCCATCATGTGTTTGTTTGGTGCTAATGTAATGACGACTTGACACACTTCTCTTGAGATGGCACTTTATTGAAGACACGTTCACTTGAAATGAGGCAGAGATCCCACTGCAACAGCCTCGAGTCTCCCGCGCATCTCCCCCTTACATACCAACACGAGGCCACGCCCCCCTTCTCGATCATTCTCGCTGACTCTGGACGCTCGCTCCACCGGCAGACTCCGCCGTCCTCTTCCGTCACCTGACCACGCTCCCTTCTCGAACATGCCCATAGCCACCAGTCCCTTCGCACTCACAACTGACTCCTCTGTCATTACTCCCCGTGGCCACTAGTCCCTTCGCACTCACAACTGATAACCCTGTCATTACCTCCCGTGGCCACCAGTCCCTTCGCACTCACAACTGATACCCCTGTCATTACCTCCCGTAGCCACCAGTCCCTTCGCACTCACAACTGACTCACCTGTCATTACCTCCCGTAGCCACCAGTCCCTTCGCACTCACAACTGACTCCCCTGCCATTACCCCCCGTGGCCACTAGACCTTTCGCGTTGCAGGCTGACTCCCCTGTCATTACCTCCCGTGGCCACTAGTCCACTCACACTGCAGGCTAACTCCCCTGTCATTACCTCCCGTGGCCACTAGTCCCTTCACACTCACAACTGATAACCCTGTCATTACCTCCCGTGGCCACTAGTGCTTTCGTACTGTAAGCTGACCTCCCTGTCATTACCTCCCGTGGCCACCAGTCCCCCCACACAGCATGCAGGCTATATTGTCATTACACTAATATAGGGACCGTCAATCCTTCTAAAATGTGAATATTGTTCCCTTCTTCCCGCTCCCCTGCACCCTATCATACCATCTCATTCCCTCCCTTCTCCCTCACTCTCCTGTCTCTTCTGCTCGCAACCTCGAGGTCATCGTCAACTCCTCCCTCTCCAATGACATCTCTGCCAATACCCGCACTTGCCGCTTTCACATATTCAATATTCGCAAAACCCGTCCTCTCACCTTACTATCTGCCGCTAAACTTCTGCTTCACTCCCTTGCTTTCACTCAACCTTGACGATTGCCACTCTCTTCTCTGCCTTCCTGCCGACGCGGTTACTCCTAAATGGGACCTTTGTTGCCAGTATAAAAATGGAACAATAAGGTGTCAGCCTTTCTGGCAATATAACATGTGTTAAGATGTTAAAAGGATTCTGTTTGGTGTTTTAACATCTAAACACCTGTTTTATTGCCAGAAAGGGTGAAACCTATTGGTATATTGTGGTTACTTCTCTCCAACAGATACAAAATTCCTCCGCCTGGATATTTTATTTTACCTCCCCCCACAATTGCCACACATCTTGCTCGAGTTTCCCAACTCCACTAGGCTCCCTGCCTACTTTCGATGTCCGTTGATCGTCCTCAGTCTCGTCTATATAAACCCCCCCCTCCCCCACCATGGTCTTGCCCCACATTATCATCTCGCTTCTCTCATTCCTTACTCTGTCCCATCCATTGCTCTACGCTCCAAATCTCTACTGTCCCTCTCTGTGAATCCCTTGCCAACTTGCGCCCAGTCTCACTCTCGTTCCTTTTCCCTTCTTGTTCCCCTCCACTGCAACAGACTCCCACTGCAGCACACAGCAGAGCAACCACCTTCACTAACCTGCTTCCGTTCCTGCCTTAAAACAAACTCCCATCTTTTGATTTAAAGCTTTCGTGACTGCAGTAATTCATATTCTTAGTTTTTTCGGTAAAGTCACGTTGAAGAGAAACAACAAAATAACAAAATATATATAAAACAATAAAAAATTCTCACGACGTTTCGACCATTGTTGTTTCTCTTCAACGTGACTTTACCGAAAAAACGAAGAATATAAACTCCCATCTCTTCTCCCCCTAGCCCATCATACTCCAGCGACTCCCTGCCCCCGCCTACTAGCTTCGACCAGGCCTACCCCAACCCCTATCACTACCCCAACCCCTTTCACTACCCCAACCCTTATCACTACTCCAGCCCCTATCACTACTCCAGCCCCTATCAATACCCCAACCCCTATCACTACCCCTATCACTACTCCAGCCCCTGTCACTACTCCTGCCCCTATCACTACCCCAACCCCTTTTACCTCCCCAACCCCTTTCACTACCCCAACCCCTATGACTACCCCAATCCTTATCACTACCCCTATCACTACTCCAGCCCCTATCACTACCCCAACCTTTATCACTACCCCAACCCCTATCACTACCCCTATCACTACTCCAGCCCCTATCACTACCCCAACCCCTATCACTACCCCAACCCCTATCACTACTCCAGCCCCTATCACTACCCCAACCCCTATCACTACCCCAACCCCTATCACTACCCCTATCACTACTCCAGCCCCTATCACTACCCCAACCCCTATCACTACCCCAACCCCTATCACTACCCCTATCACTACTCCAGCCCCTATCACTACCCCAACCCTTATCACTACCCCAACCCCTATCACTACCCCTATCACTACCCCAACCCCTATCACTACTCCAGCCCCTATCAATACCCCACCCCTATCCCTACCCCTATCACTACCCCTATCACTACTCCAACCCCTATCACTACCCCAACCCCTATCACTATCCCTATCACTACTCCAGCCCCTATCACTACCCCAACCTTTATCACTACCCCAACCCCTATCACTACCCCTATCACTACTCCAGCCCCTATCAATACCTCACCCCTATCCCTACCCCTATCACTACCCCAACCCCTATCACTACCCCACCTCTATCCCTACCCCTATCACTACTCCAGCCCATATTAATACCCCAACCCCTATCACTACCCCTATCACTACTCCAGCTCCTATCACTACCCCAATCCTTATCACTACCCCAACCCCTATCACTACCCCAACCCCTATCACTACCCCTATCACTACTCCAGCCCCTATCACTACTACAGCCCCTATCAATACCCCACCCCTATCCCTACCCCTATCACTACTCCAGCCCCTATTAATACCCCAACCCCTATCACTACCCCTATCACTACTCCAACCCCTATCAATACCCCAACCCCTATCACTACCCCTATCACTATTCCAACCCCTATCACTACCCCTATCACTACTCCAACCCCTATCAATACCCCAAACCCTATCACTACCCCTATCACTACCCCTATCACTACTCCAGCCCCTATCACTACTCCAACCCCTATCAATACCCCAAACCCTATCAATACCCCTACTGCTATAGTCCCTGGCCTCGCCTTCCCAGCTATGACCAGGCCCACTCCAACCCCTCATTAACCACTCCCACACTTGTCCTCCTCACTGTCACCCATAACTACCCCGCTACTTTTAATAAACCCTCTCTTTATGTTAACCACTGTCATCTCATGTATAATTGTTGTAAAAGCGCCTTCGATTAAGGCGCTACATAAATCTATATATAGCATAAGACACGTGCCGATTGGCACCTTCGTCTGCAGAGAGGCGTTCCGTGTTGACTGCTGTGTTCATTAACAACAGGGTGAGATCACGTGTTGACTGCTGTGTTCATTAAGAACAGGGTGAGATCACGTGTTGACTGCTGTATTCATTAACAACAGGGTGAGTTCACGTGTTGGCTGCTGTGTTCATTAACAACAGGGTGAGATCACGTGTTGACTGCTGTGTTCATTAACAACAGGGTGAGATCACGTGTTGACTGCTCTGTTCATTAACAACAGGGTGAGTTCACGTGTTGACTACTGTGTTCATTAAGAACAGGGTGAGATCACGTGTTGACTGCTGTGTTCATTAACAACAGGGTGAGATCACGTGTTGACTGCTGTGTTCATTAACAACAGGGTGAGATCGTGTGTTGGCTGCTGTGTTCATTAACAACAGGGTGAGTTCACGTGTTGACTGCTGTGTTCATTAACAACAGGGTGAGTTCACGTGTTGGCTGCTGTGTTCATTAACAACAGGGTGAGTTCACGTGTTGACTGCTGTGTTCATTAAGAACAGGGTGAGTTCGTGTGTTGGCTGTTGTGTTCATTAAGAACAGAGTGAGTTCGTGTGTTGGCTGCTGTGTTCATTAACAACAGGGTGAGATCGTGTGTTAGCTGCTGTGTTCATTAAGAACAGGGTGAGATCACGTGTTGGCTGCTGTGTTCATTAACAACAGGGTGAGATCGTGTATTAGCTGCTGTGTTCATTAACAACAGGGTGAGATCACGTGTTGGCTGCTGTGTTCATTAACAACAGGGTGAGATCACGTGTTGGCTGCTGTGTTCATTAACAACAGTGTGAGATCACGTGTTAGCTGCTGTGTTCATTAACAACAGGGTGAGTTCGTGTGTTGGCTGCTGTGTTCATTAACAACAGTGTGAGATCACGTGTTAGCTGCTGTGTTCATTAACAACAGGGTGAGTTCGTGTGTTGACTGCTGTGTTCATTAACAACAGGGTGAGATCACGTGTTGGCTGCTGTGTTCATTAACAACAGGGTGAGTTCGCGTGTTGACTGCTGTGTTAATTAACAACAGGGTGAGATCACGTGTTGGCTGCTGTGTTCATTAACAACAGGGTGAGTTCGCGTGTTGACTGCTGTGTTAATTAACAACATGTGAGTTCGTGTGTTGACTGCTGTGTTAATTAACAACAGGGTGAGATCACGTGTTGACTGCTGTGTTCATTAACAACAGGGTGAGTTCGTGTGTTGACTGTTGTGTTCATTAACAACAGGGTGAGATCACGTGTTGGCTGCTGTGTTCATTAACAACAGGGTGAGTTCGTGTGTTGACTGTTGTGTTCATTAAGAACAGGGTGAGTTCGCGTCACAGAGAGGTGTAATCTCCGGAGCGATTTGAGGCCCGAGAACATTTACGGGCTCCGGCGCCCGACAGGACATCCTGCGAACGTGCCCTTTGGGGCCGTCCATAAATGACGTCACGCGATTTTGGACGATTTTTGACCCCCCCCTCCCTCGTCACACGGCGTCACAACAAGTCAGACCCCCCCCCCTCAAATATGACGTGACAAAGCTCTGCCCCCCCCCTAAAAAAAACATGCTTCAAATCGCTTTAAACTATTGTCATTGTAGTGCGTATTTAATGTGGCGCTCTGATGTTGTAGGAGAAACCCTTGATCAAAAAGTCTTATTTAATTAAGTAGAACGTGTTGTCTATATTTATTTAAAGTTGCGCATTTCTCAACCCCCCCCCCTCGTCACACATCGTCACAAATGTCTGAGCCCCCCCCCCCCCGTCCCACTATGTGCTTGACGTCATTTATGGACGGCCCCTTTCACAAACTGTGCAAACGCCGTAAAAAAACAATTAACCGTCGCCGTGTTGCAACGTTATGCAAAACATCCCGTAACAAATCGCACAGTCATCCGTTCATGGGCAGTCACCATCATCGTCGCCAGGGTCAGTCCAAACTGCTGGACGAAGGCCCTCCGAAATTTCGTGCATGTCTGTGACGATCTCGCGATGCATGTCACGGGTCCGCCGATCATCGACACACGTGCCCAATTCAATGGGATCACGCCCTCTGTTGGACGGCCTTCTGGACGCGCTCCAGTCCCTTGGCTGCCACTATGGCATTATTCCTGACCACTGGGCATCCCAGTGCCACTTGTATTAAAAAAAATTGAATGGTCCCTTTTAACCCGCATAAGTAATCGAATCCAAGCGTTCCTCTCGCTGTCTCTCAATGTAATTCCAAGCGTGCGCACTTTTAATTTTCTGTTTAATGTTTATTGTTTGTTGATCTCTGATTCTGAACCGAACGTCAAAGTAGGTGGTATGCACTGAAGACAAATTTTAGCCTTCTGCCACATTGCTACAGTCCTTCTCATTACTCATTATGCTCCTGAATAAATCCGATTCTTCGCCAAGCACGAGTAATCATTGGCAATGTCACTGTGCGCTATTCCCAACTCGAGCTGCAAGGTCACATGCACCTCAACCCTGCAGAGTCGGATGGCGTTCATTTCCATTGACGATCTTGAGGAGTGAACGGTGGGAAATCCACATTCCCACTACGGGAACCAGTGAGAAATCCACATTCCCACCACGGGATCCAGTGGGAAATCCACATTCCCCACCACGGGAACCAGTGGAAAATCCACATTCCCATCACGGGAAACAGTGGCAAATCCACATTCCCACGGCGGGAACCAGTGGGAAATCCACATTCCCACGGCGGGAACCAGTGGGAAATCCACATTCCCATCACGGGAACCAGTGGGAAATCCACATTCCCACGGCGGGAACCAGTGGCAAATCCACATTCCCACGGCGGGAACCAGTGGGAAATCCACATTCCCATCACGGGAACCAGTGGCAAATCCACATTCCCACGGCGGGAACCAGTGGGAAATCCACATTCCCATGGCGGGAACCAGTGGGAAATCCACATTCCCATCACGGGAACCAGTGGGAAATCCACATTCCCATCACGGGAACCAGTGGGAAATCCACATTCCCACGGCGGGAACCAGTGGCAAATCCACATTCCCACGGCGGGAACCAGTGGGAAATCCACATTCCCACGGCAGGAACCAGTGGGAAATCCACATTTCCACAGCGGGAACCAGTGGCAAATTCACATTCCCACGGCGGGAACCAGTGGGAAATCCACATTCCCATCACGGGAACCAGTGGGAAATCCACATTCCCACGGCGGGAACCAGTGGCAAATCCACATTCCCATGGCGGGAACCAGTGGGAAATCCACATTCCCATCACGGGAACCAGTGGGAAATCCACATTCCCATCACGGGAACCAGTGGGAAATCCACATTCCCACGGCGGGAACCAGTGGCAAATCCACATTCCCACGGCGGGAACCAGTGGGAAATCCACATTCCCACGGCGGGAACCAGTGGCAAATCCACATTCCCACGGCGGGAACCAGTGGCAAATCCACATTCCCACGGCGGGAACCAGTGGGAAATCCACATTCCCATCACGGGAACCAGTGGGAAATCCACATTCCCACGGCGGGAAACAGTGGCAAATCCACATTCCCATGGCGGGAACCAGTGGGAAATCCACATTCCCACGGCGGGAACCAGTGGAAAATCCACATTCCCACGGCGGGGACCAGTCAGTCTCCCTCCCCACGTTTGGGCCACTGGTGACGTCACACGACGTGGTTCCTCACTTTAGCGGCCCGAGAAAGACGACGATGGGCTTTCTCGTGGCCACAATTCGATGGATTAAAGTCGACGACAACGCCGACCTCGTGTTGATGGCGTGCGAACGACGTTATAATGCCACCGCCTGTGAATCAAGGGGCTGAACGGTGGCGCGGTGGTTAGCAAGCCGCTGGGGTTTTGCGTTTTTGCAATGTAAATCGAAAACCTTTTTTGGAACTGCTTTTTGTGTTTTTTTTTGTTTGGTGTCCTTCCCCCGCGCCTCCAATTAACACGGTCGGCTACGTACGGCGCGAAAGAAGTTCAACGCACATACACTGCGCTACGAGCCCCGGAAACATGAGTTCGATTCCCGACCAAGGCAAAGTGACAGATGTTTCGAACAGGTCTTCCTCCTCGACCCTCTTCACCATCTCTAAATGACGGTCGTGGTGAAGTATGGTCAAACAACCCTGATGACCGACAGGGCCTGGGAAGGCCTTCATCCAGCAGTTAATTGACAAAGGGGTGTTTAACTTTAATACATAATCGCATTAATTAATTGTGGTTTTGTTGACCTCTTGAGCCTATGGCGTTCAAATGTCTTACCTGTGGCATTGAGTCTTTGTGGTGTTGCTGTTGTTTGTGATGACACTTGAAAGAGATAAACACATGCACGCGGTGAACAGTGGTGTCTGCAGAATAATAATAATAATATTATTATTGTAGGTAACAAAAAATATGAGTTAACATCAATCCGGCCAATGACGAAATCATTAGGAATGTGCCTAATTTCTGCCAGATATATGACCGGTACAGATATCATTTAACCACGGCCTGGTATTGAACTGGGGTCGCCGCGTTCACGAAGCAGTGCGCGAAGCACCTTTAACCCGCGTACAACCATGAACGCTTTCAGCGTTAGAGCCAAATTCACATTTCAGATCGAGGTACCCGTTGCGTGAGCGTGTGGACGCGTCCATTGCTTAGCGCGTCACGTGGGACGTGTTTAACAATCATCAGGCGCGTGCCATGTGGAGTCGAGTTGATTCGTATTGAATTGTGAATTGGTAAGCGCGGAAACGACTTCGTTGTGGTGGCGGGTCGCGGGGACTGCAGTTTGGGAAACTCCGCAAGTTCAACAAAAGTAGAATATCGCTGGCCTGTGGCCCGCCTTAATCGCGGGCCTATGGCCGCCTTAATCGATAGCCTGTGGCCACCTTAATCGAGCTCATGCAGATGACTACTCTGCACTTCGCGCCTCGCCCACCCCCCCACCCCCCCACTAATGTCCTCTTCTCCCCCCCTCCAATATGTGCAGATACTACTGACTCTATAGTAGACACTACTGCCTCTATAGTAGATACTACTGACTATAGTAGACACTACTGACTCTATAGTAGATACTACTGACTCTATATTAGACACTACTGACTCTATAGTAGATACTACTGACTCTATAGTAGATAGTACTGACTCTATAGTAGACACTGCTGACTCTATAGTAGATACTACTGACTCTATAGTAGATAGTACTGACTCTATAGTAGATACTGCTGACTCTATAGTAGACACTACTGACTATAGTAGATACTACTGACTCTATAGTAGATACTACTAACTCTATAGTAGATATTACTGACTCTATAGTAGATACTACTGACTCTATAGTAGATACTACTGACTCTATAGTAGATACTACTGACTCTATAGTAGATACTACTGACTCTATATTAGACACTACTGACTCTATAGTAGACACTACTGACTCTATAGTAGATACTACTGACTCTATAGTAGACACTACTGACTCTATAGTAGATACTACTGACACTATAGTAGATACTACTGACTCTATAGTAGATACTACTGACTCTATAGTAGACACTACTGCCTCTATAGTAGACACTACTAACTCTATAGTAGATACTACTAACTCTATAGTAGACACTACTGACTCTATAGTAGACACTACTAACTCTATAGTAGATACTACTGACTCTATAGTAGACACTACTGACTCTGACTCTATAGTAGACACTACTGACTCTATAGTAGATACTACTGACTCTATAGTAGATACTACTGACTCTATAGTAGACACTACTGACTCTATAGTAGATACTACTGACTCTATAGTAGACACTACTGACTCTATAGTAGATACTACTGACTCTATAGTAGATACTACTAACTCTATAGTAGACACTGACTCTATAGTAGATACTACTGACTCTATAGTAGATACTACTGACTCTATAGTAGACACTACTGACTCTATAGTAGATACTACTGACTCTATAGTAGATATTACTGACTCTATAGTAGATACTACTCACTCTATAGTAGATATTACTGACTCTGTAGTAGATACTACTGACTCTATAGTAGATACTACTGACTCTATAGTAGATATTACTGACTCTATAGTAGACACTACTGACTCTATAGTAGACACTACTGACTCTACAGTAGACACTACTGACTCTATAGTAGATACTACTGACTCTATAGTAGATACTACTGACTCTATAGTAGATACTACTGACTCTATAGTAGATACTACTGACTCTATAGTAGATACTACTGACTCTATAGTAGATACTACTGACTCTATAGTAGACACTACTGACTCTAAAGTAGATACTACTGACTCTATAGTAGATACTACTGACTCTATAGTAAATACTACTAACTCTATAGTAGATACTACTGACTCTATAGTAGATACTACTAACTCTATAGTAGATACTACTGACTTTATAGTAAATACTACTGACTCTATAGTAGACACTACAGACTCTATAGTAGATACTACTGACACTATAGTAGATACTACTGACTCTATAGTAGATACTACTGACTCTATAGTAGATACTACTGACTCTATATTAGACACTACTGACTCTATAGTAGACACTACTGACTCTATAGTAGATACTACTGACTCTATAGTAGACACTACTGACTCTATAGTAGATACTACTGACACTATAGTAGATACTACTGACTCTATAGTAGATACTACTGACTCTATAGTAGACACTACTGCCTCTATAGTAGACACTACTAACTCTATAGTAGATACTACTAACTCTATAGTAGACACTACTGACTCTATAGTAGACACTACTAACTCTATAGTAGATACTACTGACTCTATAGTAGACACTACTGACTCTGACTCTATAGTAGACACTACTCACTCTATAGTAGATACTACTGACTCTATAGTAGATACTACTGACTCTATAGTAGACACTACTGACTCTATAGTAGATACTACTGACTCTATAGTAGACACTACTGACTCTATAGTAGATACTACTGACTCTATAGTAGATACTACTAACTCTATAGTAGACACTGACTCTATAGTAGATACTACTGACTCTATAGTAGATACTACTGACTCTATAGTAGACACTACTGACTCTATAGTAGATACTACTGACTCTATAGTAGATATTACTGACTCTATAGTAGATACTACTCACTCTATAGTAGATATTACTGACTCTGTAGTAGATACTACTGACTCTATAGTAGATACTACTGACTCTATAGTAGATACTACTGACTCTATAGTAGATATTACTGACTCTATAGTAGACACTACTGACTCTATAGTAGACACTACTGACTCTACAGTAGACACTACTGACTCTATAGTAGATACTACTGACTCTATAGTAGATACTACTGACTCTATAGTAGATACTACTGGCTCTATAGTAGATACTACTGACTCTATAGTAGATACTACTGACTCTATAGTAGATACTACTGACTCTATAGTAGACACTACTGACTCTAAAGTAGATACTACTGACTCTATAGTAGATACTACTGACTCTATAGTAAATACTACTAACTCTATAGTAGATACTACTGACTCTATAGTAGATACTACTAACTCTATAGTAGATACTACTGACTTTATAGTAAATACTACTGACTCTATAGTAGACACTACAGACTCTATAGTAGATACTACTGACACTATAGTAGATACTACTGACTCTATAGTAGATACTACTGACACTATAGTAGATACTACTGACTATTGTTGATACTACTGACTATTGTATGTATGGCGTGTAGACATATATGCCTACAGAATAAATTAAAGCATTTTGGAGGGGGGAGTGACATTTTGTGGGTGCTAGTCAACAATTTTTGGAAACCTATTGGATCAACGTTTCAACCCCACATCTGAGAGGCGAGGGTTCTTATAATTTAGTTGACGGGACAAAAGGATCACCGGGCTTTAACAATAGATGTATGATTATTAAAGCGTGCGTGAATAGATGTATGTTAAGCGTACGAGTACCACCGACTAGCACCCCGCACCTCCGATTAGCACGGTCGTGTGTATGTTGGACATCTTTCGCACCGTACGTAGCCAACCGCGCTAATCGGGTGGCTACGGTGCGAAATAAGTTCAACATTCATCCGTACGTTTAATTCTAACCAATGATCTCACTCGCTTTGCCAAACACAAAACACAACAGCATTGCATGCGACGTCGTTTGGTCTGACACCGCGTCGCAAGGCCTTCATCTAGCAGTGGATTGACAGGGAGCCTCTGCACGAGTTGGATTCAGGTGTGGATTCTCCAACCTCTTGCGCCGAGACGTGTTTGACCTGTAGCGTGGAAGAGAATGCCAAATGCCATCTCCTCCAAAGTCGGGCCCATCTGCCAGCAGTGGCGTCAGTGAGCAATCGCACGGCTGCACCGTTAACCCTTGGTCGTGATCTCACAGCTCGATGCCACGGTCCCTGGCGATTTCACCGCAACGCTCCTTCGTGCTAAAGGGCTCCAGAGAGCCCCCCCCCCCCCCCCCCCAAGCAGAAGTTGCTTGAATCTGCTCTTTTGGCCAAAGTTAAAATGAAACATGTCGGAAACACGCACGCTTTCATAATCATCAGTGTGGTCCATCAGCCATCAGAATGGGAGAAGGGGAACGCGTTTCACCTGAATTGGGACTCATCAGCAGAGCATGCATGTGCGCGCTTGCCAACCCCGTCGACGTTAAGTGGTAGGCTGTCGACTGTTTAAGCCGCGCTTTGGTGTGACACAACAATAACCCCCCTCCTTCCCCGCATATTCTGACACCCATTTTCGCTCTGAAAATCATCATACGGAACCACGCTCTATACAAATCGGCAACCGAATCACGCCTTCAAATCGATCGTTTTGCTTGGCAAGCAGACGCGCGCACACACACACACACACACGTGCACACACACACACGTGCACGTGCACGCATGCAATCAATTAACATGTGCGGGGCTCCCACATTCGTGTTACCTGTTGTTACGGCATATGACACCAGCAACCAGGTGAGCAGCAAGCGACCGGCCCGGGACGGGGCAGCCGCCATCATCATCATCACCAGCGATGTTCTTCCGTCTTGTTGTATCAACAACAATGCTGTTGTACGAGCCTTGGGTTGATGCAGTCAGTCGCTCAACCTGCTGCCCACCTCGAAGCGCGAGTGCCTCTTTATAGGTGAGCTGGAGCCCCCGTTGCATCCCTAATCGCGTAGGCGTCTCAATAATAAATATTTAAGTGGAGTTAAAGTTTGCTTTTAAGGTGTGTGTCTGTGCGCGTGCGTCGCGTGGTGCTGGCTGTCTTCACGCATAGTTTTATTAACCCATTTGATTGTGAGTGTAAGCGGTTTGTTGCGATGGAATAAGATATATATGCAAATATTATATTCACATATTCCCCATACATCCTTAACGACCTCAAATGTGATGCCATATTTTTCAACTACATTTTCCGATTTTTTTTAAAAGCATTTTTATATTCCACTTTTATCTTATATAGATTCACGTAGTGCCTTAGTCCGACGCGCTTTACAATAATTACAAAGTTGCACGCGAGATGATGGTGGTAAAATGAATAGGGGGGGGGGGGGGGTTATTAAACGTGGTGGTGTAGCTATGGTGACAGGACAGGTGGGCTTAGGAGGGGATTGAGTAGGGGTCGTGGCAGAGATTGTGGTAGGGCTCTGGTAGTAGTTGGGGTCCTGGGCCAGGGAGTAGCAGTAGCGGAATCGGCTCGGGCAGAAGAGATGGCTTTGAAGCAGGGGTTAGGGAACCTTTTTTCTGCCAAGGGCCATTTGGATATTCATAAAACATCATTCGCGGGCCATACAAAATGGTCAACTTAAAAATCAGCCCGTTATATTTTTTGTCAAACATTTCATTAACTCACCCCTAATGTGATGGCTGGAACTGCTTCTCTTTGGTGAGGCGCGTGGTGATGATGTCAGCTGGTATTGATGATGTTGCTGCTACTCGCAACTGCTTTTCCAGGTGTTGCTCCTAGATCTATTGAATTTCGAGTCCCGCCTGCGGTTCCCTTGGCAGGGCCAGAGACCCAAATGATTTCGCGGGGCCTCCCCAACCCCTGGCTTTAAAGGGAGGAATGGAAGCATGTCGGTGAAGATGATTGTTTTACGTGCAATGGGAGTTGGTTCCGGTGGAGGGGAGCAAAGGTGGAAAGTGACCAAGAGCGAGACTGGGCACAGGACGAGGGAGACACCGAGAGCGACAGTAGAGATTGGGAGCAGAGGGAACGGCATGGGACCATATACACGAGAGAAGCAAGCGATGGTGAGGATGTTATTCTTAAGTTGTTTTAATATTCATATGAGTTCTCGAAAACTGTTCCTCTGTGAACGAATGTTTACCCCTTCTGTATATTGTTGGTCTCTCGCAACATGTAAACTTTCCCACTCACAAACTCGGTCAATCCCTTGCTGTAGTTATGACGTCTGGCTTGCCCATATCAAATTAAAATTCGTGCAATGTTTCTGTATCTGACCATTTCGCAATTGTTGTTACTTGATTCGCCACTTTCCTTAACCAGAATGAACGTAACGTCAACTCTAGGAATGTAAAGTCTTTAAATACATACTCTTTAGTTCTATTCGGTAAAGTCACGTAGGTAAAAAATAAAACAACAAAAATCACGACGTTTCGGCCACAACACAAGCGGCCTTCATCAGGTGAAGGGACCAGCCTGTCTCGAAGACTGCGCTGGAGTCAAACAGGGCCAAGCTCAGACTGCGACCTTTAACCTGTGTGAGAGGGATTAAGGTGCCTCGACAAAGGAATTAGCATAAAAATTAGCATTTGATTGGCGGACTTAGCATGATGAAAGGTGTAGCACAGTGATCGGCACCGGCAGTGCCACACCTTCATCATGATAAGTCCGCCAATCAAATGCTAATTTTTTACGCTAATTCCTTTGTCAAGACACCTTAATCCCTCTCACACAGCTTAAAGGTGCACTGCCGTGTGCTAGACCTTTCATCATGATAAGTCCGCCAATCAAATGCTAATTTTTTATGCTAATTCCTTTGTCAAGGCACCTTAATCCCTCTCACACAGCTTAAAGGTCGCAGTCTGAGCTTGGCTCTGTTTCACTCCAGCGCAGTCTTCGAGACAGGCTGGTCCCTTCACCTGATGAAGGCCGCTTGTGTTGTGGCCGAAACGTCGTGAGAATTTTTATTGTTTTTTTTTACCTACGTGACTTTACCGAATAGAACCAAAGAGTATGGATCCTTGCAGTCACGAAAGCTTCAAATCTTTAAATACAACTAAGTTTGCCGAGTCAATTTCATCATCCTTACCCTCAAACTATAATTGTTTTCTCTCTTTGGAGGGCAAGGTTCTTTATGATTAAACACTTTCCAATACTTTTGAGTGCCACCTAAAGAACGCCGTGTCTCCTCCAGTCGGCTATCTCATCGGTATACTGACCATCTGCGCTCCTTTGCAATATCTGGGAGAAAGCATGAACGGAGATGGAGGGTCACAGGTCTGGAGATTATTTTTCAGATCTGGAAGCAACATAAGTGCGTGTGCGTGCATATAGGGACGTAAGAATAGGTTTTACCCATTCTGGCAATAAAGCAGTTGTGTTAAGATGTTAAAACACCAAACTGAAACCTTTTGCAAGGAATCATATCTGCATTAACCAAATATGCTTGTGGTGAACATGCAAAAAAAACATGCTCCACCACCCGACACGGCCAAACAGTAAAAAAATGTGTCACGTTTACAAAACACAAATAGTTCACTACTTTCGCCCACCGGTGTGTTGAAGAGTGAATCAACATCATTTACAATTTTGAGTACGACGTTTCGCTGGTAATTACATCCAGCATCATCGGGCAATTTGCCAGAATGGTGAAGTCATCCACTTGCTCCCGGTCATAATTTCACCCAATCTGGCGCAGTGATTTGAGGCGGAGAGGGGGTGAGGGCATTGTAATTATATAATAGATTGGTAATCATTCGATTGTTAATAATTAATATTTGTTTACCCTATAAAGAATTGCAATTTTAATATATATTTTATTTAAATAATACAGAATGTAAGTTGCTTGAGCCATTTCATTCTGCCTTTAGACCAATGCGTCGTACGGAAAACAGCACTCGGTTAAGGTTGTAAATGATGTATTCATGATTGTCGATATATGGTGCACTAGCCATCATGATTATTCTGGATCTTAGTGCTACTTTTGATTCAGTTGATCGTTGTATTTTGCTAAATCGTCGAGACTTATGTACTGCAGTCCTTTCAGGCACCTGCTCTCTGTTGGCTAAAGGCATAATTGTCCAACAAGGGGAGGGAAGTTTGTCTCAATCAGCGACGGATCATCGGGGGCTTCTGAGGGCTCATTTTTAGGACCTCTTGTTCACAGCCAATATCATTACTACCGCTTGGTCAAACATGAAACGGGGCTCCTGTTAGTCGAATCACAAGGCATGGTAGGAAGACAGAAGGTTGATGTGTTAGAGGACTTTGTGTTGTTCGCTACGGCGACGAGTATTTTGGCATACGTACGCATTGTGCTGAAGTGATGTAAGATCTACAAGGACTTTCTGTAAGATCTATAAAGCAGGAGGCTGTGATAAGATTACAACGGGAATTGCTTTATAAGGGCACGAAGGTATTTTATGGGCTGTAGACACCACTGTGGACGATAAGAGAGATACGTCCGAATTATAAGTAAACGGTGTTTGAGACCAAGGAGTGCTTTCGTTAGTACTGGCGCAGATGAAGACGTGCCAGACCCCTAAAGCAGCTCGAAAGAAAATCGCTGGCATTTGAGCTCGGGATGCCCGAGACGGATGTTGTGGCAAGACAGGGTAAATAAGCAGTACAGAAGTACGGAAGGCACCATGGCAGGCACGGTGAGATACCATTGGGAAGAGGGAAAGACCGCGTGTGAAGGGGGGTGCATGGATCGTCTGCCGAGACGGACACTGCATCGGTCTCCAGCAGTCCGGAGAGCTATGGGGCAGTCACAGAGACGAGAATGTTGCGATGGCTGTTTGGGGTTTAACAAGGAAGGACATGGGGGGGGGGGGGGGGGGCTGAGAAATGAAGAAGTGAGAGGAAGACTCGAGGTGGTGGAAATCACAGAGAAGATGGAGAGAGAGAGAGAGACAAAAGGCTATGGGTGTGGTTCGGTCACGTGGAGAGACAACAGGAAAATGATGTCGGTCAGAATTTGGCTGGTGATGCAAGTGGATGGAAAGAAATCAAGAGGAAGGCAGAAGAAGAGGTGGAGGGGGGGTTCAGTTTCATTTATTTGGTATAGCCCTGTGAGCCATTCGGCTCTTGAATCGGGTGCAACCGCAACAAACGAAAAACAAAAACATGAACAAGAAAACATCTAAAAGTGACTGTGTGACTTTGTGCAAACAGAAAAATCCAGGAAAAAACAGCAAAAAATCTTCCAGAAAAATCACCGTACACCAACGCTGTGTGCAAAAATCCCAGTGGGATGCAAGTCAAACAACAACAACAACAACCACAAGACAACTTAGATTAAGGCCAAACCAAAAAACTTTTCGAAATCACAATAATAAAGCCATAAAAGTAATACAACAGTGATCATAGGAACTGTGACCGAAATTTCACAATAAACGACATAAACAACATGTACCACCAAACCCTGTAGCCATAGCTGACTGCACGAGTCACTCCACAACAGCAGGAGCATCAGCAGGGGGTTGGCGTTGGGGGGGCGATGTGGTGCGATCGTACACGGTGGCCCGAGGAGCGGAAAGAGAGATGGCCCAGGACAGGGCACGGTGGAGAAGGTTGGCAAGGACAGCGGACACCCCCACGTGAGTGGGAGAAACACGTGGAAGAAGAAGGAGTCGGGCGAGCAAAAGGAAGACGGTGGGGTTGAGACTGCCAGGAGGAGATCTTGGAGGTGATGCGTCTTAGCTGTGCAGCGGCTGTGGGAGCTGGCGAGGGGTAGAGGACATCGGCAATGGGGTGCGGCGGTGGGAGCAATTAACATCTTTGGCCACGATTCACTTTACGAACTTCCTCTTTGCACACAGGTGTGTGTGTGTGTGCACTTTTTAAAAAGGGTTAACCTTGCACCAACAGATGGGTTAATAAGTAATCCTTTTAAAAAAATCACACCCCCGAGGGACAGGCATTTCGATTGGTGGACGATGTCTGTGTTTGCCCGTGAACAACCCTCCTCCCATTCAGCTCTGCGTTCTTGCGTTCATCGCCTGACCTTACCTGCCGAGGTTTTAGTGCTCACGTATCCCCCACTGTGGCTGTCGAGTTTGAATGCTGCTTGGCA